ATCGAGTCAGTTCTGACCCATAGCAATGGATAGCTAGGTAGAAGTCATGAAGGTGGTATACGAGAGTGAGTGAAGTGTGTTCCGGGCTCTTCCAGCTCATCATAAGGAACCTTACAGGATGGATTGTTCAACACTGAATTACATTACAAGTAACTGAGATGAAGCCTTTTAAATTCATTCTTTAAAAAGCTATTGAGGATAGGTTTACAGATAATACTTACTACAATATTGTAGTTAAAACACCAGAAAATGTGACAAAACCAGCAGCTATAAAAACACCAACAGCAATGGAAACAAGTGTGTGTGCTTGCAGTGCATATAGAAGAGGCCGTGCAGTTTGCAGCGTCATGTGATTAGGTCACAATGACAGCTCTGACTGGAGAGCATTGTTGTGCCATCGAGTCAGTTCTGACTCACAGTGAGCTTGTCTAGGATTTCTGAGCAGTGACTGGTGGGTTTGAACCACCAACCTTGTGGTTAGTAGTCCAGTGCTGATCCTGTAGCAACACACCAGGACTCCTGACTGGAGAGCATTAGGAGATTCAAAAAATAAATTAGCAAGAGTTTTAGCCTTGTAGCTAGTTATATTGATACAAATAAGCTGAACTTAAAAAAAAAGTTTTTTTTTTTCTTACAACTAACTACAGGGATATTTTTATTTAAAAAGGAATAAATTTTTATTGAAACACTGCACAGAAATGTCATAGACCGTCATTTTGATACCCCCTGCTGTGGCGGTGTCATCCAGCGCAGTCCACACACCCCTAGTGATGCCACTGGACAGGAGCCCTGGTCCCCAAGTTTCCGTAGGCCCGGCCTCATTCCTAGTCTTTCAGGTCCCCCCGAGTCAATGAGGGAACATGTGGTTGCTGCCTCCAAGGCCATGAAGATGGGGGACTGGAAGACCTGCCACAGCTTTATCATCAATGAGAAGATGAATGGCAAAGTGTGGGACCTTTTCCCGGAGGCTGACAAAGTTCGCACCATGCTGGTTAGGTGAGCCAAAAGAGCAGAGCAGGTTGGGGAAGTTTTTGAAAAGACTGGTTGGTCTCCTTCCAAATGGACTTCCATTTGCTCCTCTTTCCCAATAGGAAGATCCAAGAAGAGTCACTTCGGACCTACCTCTTTACCTACAGCAGTGTCTATGACTCTATCAGGTAGGGTGGGCCTTGGGAAAGAAGAGAGTCCTCAGCTTTGTAACTAGGAACTAGGATCCTGATTACTCCCTGCTCTCTCTCTACCTTCCTCCTCAGCATGGAGACGCTGTCTGACATGTTTGAGCTGGACCTACCCACTGTGCACTCCATCATCAGCAAGATGATCATTAATGAGGAACTGATGGTAAATGGGCACATGGGGCCCTGTAGGGAGTGGGGTCTGGTCCATGTCATGTCCTATCTCTGCCTGGCCCTTTAGGCCTCCCTGGACCAGCCGACACAGACTGTGGTGATGCACCGCACTGAGCCCACTGCCCAGCAGAACCTGGCATTGCAGCTAGCTGAGAAGCTAGGCAGCTTGGTTGAGAATAATGAGCGAGTGTTTGACCACAAGCAGGGTACCTATGGTGGCTACTTCCGAGGTGAGTGGGTCGGCCCCCAGGTTCTGACCCCTTAACTGTCTCTCCTCTGGTACTGACCACTCTCCTCTCCCTTTTCATTTCTCTCTATAGATCAGAAGGATGGTTACCGCAAAAACGAGGGCTACATGCGCCGCGGTGGCTACCGCCAGCAGCAGTCTCAGACAGCCTACTAGTCTTCTCCACTTCTCCATGTCTTAGACCACTCGGTGTTTAAGTCCTAAGCCATACCCAGTCATTAAAGGTCTATTTAAAGTTGCTGCAACTCCTTATTATTGTGTACGTCCACAGGTATGTGTTGGATTCATTCATTTGCTTAGCTTTTGCTGCATGACATGCAGAACGGTCAGAATCTATCTTACAAATCCTTGACTTCAAAGGGCTTAGTGCTCTGTGACATGTAACAATGTAACTGAAGATTCTAACTCCATGTGGAAGTTATGATAGGAATATGGGGGAAAGGTGGTGAATATATTGAGACTGACACCGGAGATGAATGTCAGGGAAGGAATAATGGTGGCAGTGAGACCGTGAAAGCTGGGTGGGTGGTGGTCCTTGAAACAATGTAGATCTGCTCTTCTCTGCCCATGACAAGACAATCACTATAATTAAGAGTAAGTAGTGAGAAGCTTTTAGAGTGATTGGACATTGTCATGACATCTCAGCATGTGATTGTTTTCCTAATAATTCATGTTTATTGTATTTTATAAAAGTGACTGGTCTACAGTCGATTGGAATTTTTTAAAATCTTCATGACTGTTTGAAAAGTATTCACTTAGGCTGAGGGAAAAGCAGGTGCAAAGGAGTAGGAGAAACGTGTGGTTGGTTTGAAGTGTATGTAGGGTGATGTGTGTGTGCAGGAGAGATGATAAGCAGGAGCCATAAACTGGGACCATTTCATGAAAGCTTTAAATGCTTTGGGTTTTTGCAAACAAAATAACATGAGTAGATTCTGTTTTTGAAAAGATAATGACGCTCCACTGTAGAGTGTTGGAATTGGAGGAAACACAAGGCAGTAAAGTCTAAGTAGTTAGGGTAGGAGCGGTGGGGCTGGGGGAGGATTGAGGAATCCTGTGTGTAACGAGCTGTCTGCCTTCAGTGACCAGTTAGGTGGGAGAGTTAGAGTGTTTCCTAATTGGAAGATGAGTAAATTATAGCACTGCTGTGAAGAATACAAGAACTGCAGGTATACAGAGTGGGCTGATAATGAGGTTGGTTTTACAGATGTAGACTGAGGTCCCTCTGGAATTTAGGGACCTGGCTATAAGAGTTTGGAATTTGAATTTACTGGTCTGTAGGCTAAGCAGCCATACAAAGAGATTCCAATGGTTCAAGCAAAATAGTTTATTTTGTGACAGTCCAGAAGTAGGGAGTGGCCCCAGGTTGGGGGCTAGACAGCTGAGGTGCTTAAGGTCATTCAATGTCCCATTGTCATGTTTGTCCACCGTCTCCTAGGTTGTTGCCCTTCTTTAGTTAACAGCCCACAGAGTGGGAAAGAGAAAGAGGCCCTGAAAATTACACCAATCTCATTGACTAGAGTTTAATCTCAGGTCCTGAAGTGCCTCTAACTGGGTGTTCCTAATATTAAGAGGAATAAATGGGTGGTTCACTGGGAGGTCATCACAGAAGGAAAGGAACAGAGAAAGGTTTGGAAGTGAGTGACCTATGAATGGTGGTTAAAAGTGGGTAACATAGCCTACAAACCAGCATCCTTTGGATACTTACACACTAGATGCTTTACATACTCACTTACTTTACATATCTCAACTCATTGTATTCTCTTGGAATAATCCTAGTCCCATTTTATAGAAGGGGAAGTGAGGGCACTGAGTGCACACCAAGGTAGTCTGACTCCATGATCCCAGCTATTACTCATTGTGTTAAGTTCATTGAGTCTATTCTGACTCAATACTGACCCTGTATAGGGTTTCCAAGGAGCAGCTTGTGGGTTTGAACTACTGACCTTGTGGGTCTCAGTCCATTGCTTAATGTACAGTGCCATACCAGAACTCTATTAATCATTGTACTTAGTGCTAATTAAGTGGGAACATAAAGAGGGTCAAAGACTGAACTCGACATGTGAATGGTGGGTGGGTAAAAGGGAAAGCAGAGGGGGAGGTGGCCAGTGGTGAGCATTCGGCTATGCTAAATAGGGCACGGGAACCTCGGGCAGGCAGCAGAGCCATTTTCAGGGTGAGTGGTGACCTTAGAGGCAGGGTTGTGGAAACTTTTACAGTAAAGTGCTAAATAGTTTTATTCATTACATGAGATCTGCTGTATATTCCTTTTCTTCTTTATAAGAACCTTTAAAAATACGAAAACCATTCTTGACTAAAGGATTGTACAAAAACAATTCATGAGAAAGATTCACCCCTCAGCACTGTAGGGTAAGTGCAGGACCGCAAGGTGGGTTTGAACCACGAGGTCAGCGATTCAGACTCATCAGCCACTCCTTGGAAACCCTATGTGGGTGGCTGTTAGTCGAAACCGACTCAATGGCACTTAGCAGTTTGGGGGAGGAGGGAAAAGATCAAGTCTCCCACTGCATACCCTTCCATTTTTTGCAAGAAGTTTGAATTTTTTTTTTTTCTCAAAAAAAAAAATACTTCTCAGTGAGTTTTGGTAAAGTGAAAAGCAGTATGTGTTTTTGGAGGTTGGTTCATTTGTTTTTACTCATATTCACACATTCTCTTCAAGAGAAATTTTTCAGTTGAATTTTGGCACAGATAGAGGAAGCAAAACAGTTTAACAGTGTCTTCCCAACTTGAGCTTGACCATATCTAGTGTTTCATAAAAATAAAGGCTGGTGAGAAAGTGGCGAAACTGGGACCCTCCTAAATTATTGGTGGGACTGTAAAATATTTCAACCAGTTTGGAAAACGGTATGATGCTTCCTCAGTAACTTGAAATTAGAAATACGTTGTGACCCAGCAATCCCTCTACTTGGTATATATCCACAAGAAATACGAGCCAGGACACAAGTAAACACATGCACATTGTAGGCCATATTTAGCATAACAGAGTCTACTAGCTCATTGTTCACAGCATAAAGCATACAGCAAGCAAAAACAAACACGTCTAGATATTATCAAACTGCTTAAGGCAATGAGTTGATGGGCTTTGGGGCTCAGGACCATAGTTTCAGGGGACACCATGGTCAGTTGGCACAACACAGTCCATAAAGACAATGTTCTACATCCTGTGTGAGAGAGTCGTGCCTGGGATCCTGAAATAAGTGGGCAGACGTCTAAGGTGCAGCTATTGTTCTCTCCATGAGCAGGAGAACAGTGATAAGGATTGAAGAGGCTTGAAATCAGTCAGTCCACTGGACTCATGGAACATGTGAACATCAGTCTCCAAGACTCTTGAGATCAGAAGAACTAGATGGTGCCTAGCTACCGCTACCAACTACTCTGAAACGAACCCCATTAGAGAATCCCAAATAGAGTGGAGGGAAAAGAACGGATTTACTGGTCAGAAGGAGACTAGAGGAATCTGAAACCATGGCCCTCTCCCACCCTTCAGGTCTAGAAAGGAACTCACCTTCATGGCCCAACAACATTAGAAAGGTATGCTCTCAGTGGAATTATCAGTCATTCAAAATGAAAAGGACAACATTTTCCTAAGGACAGTCGGGAAGCTGGGTGGAATGCAAATAAGAACCACAGGGAAGAAGCAGATAATTGTTCCATGGAGGGGATTTCAATTATTGAGATGAAACTAACTGTGATTTGTTGAATGTAAAGCTGATGATCTTGTCCATAAATCAATTTGCAATAGAAAGTTTAACTAAAAGAAAAATCAAAACTAACCTTATGATATAAGTGAGTAGAGCAAAACCCAAAATAGCAATTCCTGTGAAAATAAACTCAGATATACAAACTCGGAAACCCAGCCTGAGTTTGAGCAAAAGATGAGAAAAAAAATTTTGTTAGGGAAGATAAAAAAGTCTAAGATCCAAATAATCATCTCAAAAATACATTCAAGCAAATCTGAATGAAATAAACCACTTTGAAAATAAACTCAAATTCATGAATTCTTTAAACTAGCTCCTCCTCCACTAGAATCTGAGTAAACTGCTGAAAGCAGTTTTTTTGTGAGAAAACAGGCTCAGATTTACAAGTTGTCAGTTGAAGTTTCCTAGCATCAACTTGAGCAAACTTAGAACATTTTAGAAAAAGCAGCATCCGTGTTTGTGAAAACAGCGCAGATTGATCAGTTCTCAAAAGTTACTTCCCAACTCCTGTTAGGAGTAAGCCAGCTGATTCCAACTAGGGTAAAGTCCAAAAGCAGAAAGGCAGGAGAAGCAACCCATACCAGGGTGACTTTTCCTATATTTTTCCTTCATGACTTAACCTCTGAGGTCATTGTGCTACATGATGGTGCAGGCAGGAAAAAAAAAAAAGTGAAATTTCACTTTTAGATTTCACAGTTAAATCTGACCAGCCAGAGGCAGGAAAGGGGACCCTTGGGAGCTGAGGAACACTCACCAGTCCTGCTCAGGACAGAAATTAGTTGTACTAATGTGACTTGGGTAGCTGAAACCCCTGAATAGAGACCAGAAGAGGAAATAATGTGAAGTGGGAAAATCACCGGGGTATAAGAAGACTTCAAAAAGATGTGGAAAATGGAGCTAAAAGATAATGGACAACTGACATTTTGTAACAGAAAGCGGGGAGTAGTTAATCTTACAGTCCAGGAACAGAGGACCCTAGGACCATCAAGGGAGAAGAGCATGAGTGAAATGTGGGACCCTATCCAGAGAAGCAACACCAGAGGTGGAGGCAGAGATGAGGACACGGAGAGAGGGAGCAGCTGAGGACTCTAGGTTCATGGAAAGAGAAAGACTGAGTGCTGGTTGCCAGGAGGCAGACTTGCAAGAACGTGCCTTTTGGTTGTTTAAATGATTATGTATTCCTGAAAGTTTTTCTGTACATCTCCCCACCCACCAAAAAAGACCCCAAAGGGAATAGAAGCAAATACTGTTGAATGATGATTCACGGAGAAACAATGAGTGTAAAACCGATGCTCTCCCATGTAAACTATCACTCAATTTACAATAAAAACTTTAAAAAAAAAAAAAAAGATAATGGGATTTTTTTTCATGAACTTTTCTCTGGTTTGGCCCAATCTATTTTAAAAGACCTCCTTAGAGAGAAAGCTGTAGTGAAGGCAT